TTGCCGATGGGCAGGCCGTGGCCCGGCGGTGCTGGGGGGGAGCGGTCCCGGGGCGGCCAGGCCGACGAGGGCCAGGGCCGGAAGGGTGGACGACATCATGGCTCTACTGGGAAAGAAATCAAAAATATATACATGTACTACAGATATATACACGAATCTTGTGGACAGAAGATGACGGAATTGAATACTATACATGGGTTTACATGGGTTTTATACTCTTGTTGAGCGAGTGTGCGAGGCATGGAGCATTCCTGTGTACGTCGTTTCGTCGTGGCAGATGACCCTCTGCTAAAGCTCAACTGACACGCCAACCACCCATGGAGCTGCCAACATGACTACGTAGTCAATTTACAATGGTCAGGCTGCAGGCCAAACATCCCAAGCCGACCGACTTCATTTTATCCCATCTTCCTGTCTGGTAAGGCCGCAAAGCACATGTGCTCCTTTGGACGGAGCCCTCGCTCGGCTGCCTTTTTTTGGTTTGGGGTGAGCGTTTACTCCCCGTGGGAACTTGTACCGCACGTGTAGCTGGAGAAGGCCGAGACAAGACTTTAGCGGGTGCCGTTTGCTAAATATGGGCATGTCTTACCTGAAGCGCGTCCAAGGTTTGGCCGCCCGTAAGCAGAGCCATGAGCCGCGACGTGGTATCTGACTAGTACATGACTCTATTTGTAGATTGATTACTCAAAGTAAAGCCCGAACAATACACTACGTTTTGGAGTGCACCTTCTTGGGCCTTGCCAACTACGTAGGTAATGTTTCACCTGCGCCACCTCGGCGATTTCAACATGTGTAGAAGTCTGGCGGCGATGACAAGTAGATGTAGTTCACCCATGGCGAATGACGGGATTGGATGCCTTTTTCCTATGGACTGGTAGCACGGGGGACCTGCTGCCTCGTCCTTGTGCAGCCATTCGGTCCTATCAGACCTCCCATCTATTGAATCCAAGATCGTCGACACCGAGACTTGGCTACTCCGCATTCCTCGTTCGCCGCGGTGTACGAAATTCCAGCCAAAGTCGGAAGCGCCTTTCACACATTGCCTGTTGACGCAATCAATCACATGGTCTCGCCTCGTTCAAGATTCCCCCGCGTCGCGTGGACACCCCGTCTGTCGATCCCAAAGAAAAATCCGAAACAAAAACTCGCCGTGGAGCTGAAGGGACTGACTGGTCTATTGAGCACACCTTCCAATACAGGCAGTTGAAAGCCTCTATTGTCTGCTGAATGGGCTTTACGCAGGCTGCACAGAATCCTTCACGATGGCGCCATATGGCTGTTGCTGCAAGTGATGCTGAACCAGCCACTGCCCCCTGTCCCGGGCGCATCTTGAAGTCTGTAGCGACCATTCTAGAATGCTAATCTATAGTCGTCCTTGATGACATCCCCAAGGTCTTGCGGGGTTCTACAAAGCTCTGGGCAGTCGAGAGGTTCTCCGGTCGAGGGCACATTTTAGCCTTGATGACTCTGCCATGTGAGCCTTACGCGCATACGGCAGAACGGCACCCAAGCCGGAAACCGCCGAGATTGTGCCACTTCAGGGTGTTTAATGAAGAAGGCGAAGAGGCTCTTGCACTTTCAAGGACAGACGTTGGGCAGACAGGAACCGTATTTTGAAATAAGGAAGAGTGGCCGTTCGAAATCGCAGTAGCTGCGAGCTCAAGTGACACCAGTCCTCCCTATCACTCCATCAGAGATTTGCCAGGAACGAAGCAAGTTCAACTCGACACATGGCAGGTCTAGGCCGGGTGGTGAATGCGCTGATTTAGAATAATGCTCGCGACATTGAGGTAGGGTACCTCGTTGTACAAGCTATAAACCAAGAAGCCTAGTCCAGATGAGCGCTGCTTACCCCTATCATTAACAAGTATCATGCATTCAGCCAGTCGAGAATAGGCAGGCGATCTCATACCAAACCTTATCACTGCTGTCTCATGCCAGCCTGGAAACAAACGCCGCTTTACGCTCCAGCCCGTATGTCTTGGCGCCTTTCCAACCTGGAAGCCTTTATTTTCCCTTTATTTTCCAATTCGGGAAGACGCTGCATCATTGTTCGCCGGGTGTCACTTGATCAAACCCTTGGTAGTTCATTTTTGGGTGAAATTGGTGTGCCGCCAGTAACCGGGTTAATTGCAGGCATAAGATGTAACATGCTACCAGAGCATCGTCATGGACGCCGGAGTGAACTCTGGAGGCCGGACACAAAGCTCAGCTGGACGAGAAAGGTAAAGACGTCCGTCATGCACTGATTTCCCTCCCCAGGTTGACAGAGACGGGGGTATATCCTAGAACGGGTACGTCAATTCATATCGACATCGACTGTCATACAGCTCAGCGCCACGACAAATAGTGCTACTACCCTGGCTGTTCACTGGAAAAGACGATTTTACTTGAGGTCACTTTATGGCGCGATTACTTCCATCATCCTAGACTTGATCAGCAGCATTGTAGAGGCTCTTTGAGGCTGCGGAGGTTCTTGATTTACCGTGGAGGTAGAAATCAACGGATTTTGGAATAATGCAGTCCAGAATGTTTGGAGGCCTTCGGGGTTCCGGCTAAGAGTGCTTGCTAGTGAAGAGGAGATGTGTAAATGGCAAGAAAGATGCAGTAAAGGGGCCCTGGATGCCAACCAGTTCTCTCACACGATGAGCGCCACTCGTCCATCCTCACCTCGTTGAGACGGCATCTGGATAGCCGTAGCATAGACGTGTGAAGAGAAATTACAACCACATCGAAAGTGATTCTGGCTGAGTTTGTGCATCCACGTCATCGGCTGATACAGAGTATCTATGAATATCTGGAAAGCCAAGCTGTGTTGATCCAACAGGGGTCGGATGGAATTCCGTGCCTTTGCGATGGGCCTCGTCATAGAAATTGGGGTCAGTACGGAGCTTGAACCAGCAGTTACTCAACCTTGGAGAAAGAAGCTGAAGGATGGAGCTTCATGGTTTGGGTTTGTTCGCCTCGAAGCTTTGCTCGTCCTGAGGCAACAAGCTCGTCGCAAGGCAACAACATGCCACGGCACGTGACATGCGCGAGTTGCTGTGTCAGCCACCTGCGGCTAGGTCGCGCTATGAGCTCGCTCTCCACAACTCAATCAGCCGAGCGCGTTTGGCAGAAACCATCGTGAAGTCTGGTTCAGTCATGCCGATTGGCGACATATGCGCAGCTTCACCTCTCTGCAGCCACTGAATCGCCTGTTTAGAAACTTCTGCAACTCTGCGAAAATGCCTCCAGGTACGTGATAGACGGGAAAAACAAGCCTGCATTCGGAGATGGATGGTCCTCCTTGCCCTGTTTATCTATCGCCAGTCATGGCGTGAAGCTCTTGCTCGCATGGCTGCGCTGGCGATGCCTACGATTGATTATGATGCGCTTCTCATGTGTCTCATGCACTTACAATCCTCTAGCGCTCAGCGACGATGAGTCCTCCGACGTGGAGCCTCAGGTAACGACAATGCGATCTTCCCGAAGCTCGCGATCACTCGCCGACGATGCGCGCAGCATGGAAAGCGATGACAAGCCAGGACCTGTGGCTGCCAATGGAGGCAGTGAGGTTGACGGAGAAGACGAGGAGGAGGATGAGGATCTTGAGGAGGACGTGTATGCGCTTTACGCTTTCCTACGGCAGGGTTCGTTTGCTAATGCGGACCTAGGTTTATCGTCGAAGCGATCAAAAGTCACATGATTGACGAAGATGTTAGTGGCGGAATCGATTACGAGACATCACATTCAGTTTCTAACAAAGACTCAACAGGGAAGTCTGAGATTTCAGGTGAAGTGGGAAGGTTACGACTCCAAAAAGGACTTGACCTGGGAGCCCGAGGAGAATCTGGAGTGAGTACATATATGTTTGCGACTGCGATATCGAGTGCGATGACTAATTTACCATGTACTCTTGCAGAGAATCTGCGCAGGAAATTCTAGATGAGTATTTTCGCAAGTTTGGTGGACGAGAGAACATTTTCAACCAAACAGAGAAGGCATCCAGGGGGAAGAAGAGAGGGCGAGGAGCCTCCAACGCGGCGGCGACGACGGCCAAGCGACCACGAAAGAACGGCACACACCCTGCTGATTCGGCACCGCCCGCCAGCGCGAAACCGTGGCAACCACCAGCGGGCTCCTGGGAAGACGAAATTGCCACCATCGATGCTTGCGAGGACGAGGGGAGTGGCAAGCTTGTCGTGTACCTCATTTGGAAGAACGGGCAGAAGACCAAGCATGAGACGTCTGTCATTTACAAGAAGTGTCCTCAAAAGGTACGTGCGGTTGCCGAGTGTTGGGTGGCTGGCGGCAACGCGTGCAACTACTGACGGATAACAAACAGATGCTGCAATTCTATGAGCGACACGTCAAGATTATTCGAGATGATGACAGGGTGGCAACGCAGGGCGACTGAAGGGGGGAGACTGGTGATGTGACTTGGTTGGAGTTGGCGAGAGCAATCCGCCGTGCTTTTGAATGGACTGGCTTTAGGTTGCGGACGAAATGGACCTGGCGCTTCGGACAATCTCACTTTATTGTAAACAGACTTTTTCTCGAGGGCGAAGATGTGCCACCATTTTGCACCAGGTATCTTGCGAGCTGGGACAATTGGGTGGATAAGGCCGTGGTAGGTAGCATAGGAGAGAGTAGATGGAATGGCTCTTTTTCAGGGGGAATCAATTTCACACAATTCACACGAGACAGAATGTCGTTTGCTGTTGTGGGCAGTTGAGCTGAATCAATGTTCAATGTTGCTTTGAGCACACAGACCTCCCTTGTCAGCAGCAGCGGGTGCATTGGAGGTTGGGGAGCCAAAGCTTTGCCAAAAGGTCCAGTCTTGGCCCCACCAACGGTACTCCGTAGACCCCTGTAATGTCTGGTCAACCTTGAAATCCGGGCGGGATTCTTTTCGCAACGCCAGCCATCCGTTTATTGACTTGCGCAGAAAGTCGGTGGCGGGGCAACCAGCTATATGAGTGACATGCACGCAGCATTGCCTGCGCCGTCCGTCTTCCACTTTGCTTCATTCCAGTCTTCTGCTGCTACCTTGATCATTTTTCCTCGTACCCGCGCCGTTTCCAGACCCAACGGTCCGTTGACGACGTTTTTATTCGAGGCGCAAACGAACTGTCTTGCCGCATCCTGGCTCGCGAATAGCTTCACGGCGTCCCACCTGCAGCCATACGCTATCAAGAAAAAAAAAAAAAAAAAAAAAAAAAAAAAGACTTCATCCTTGACTGCTGCTACATCTGCAGCCAGCCAGCCAGCCCCCGAAACCTATTCACAGCCCTTGCATCAGGGCCCTGCCGCCACCATGGTGCAACGCAACCACGTCATCGCCATCATCATCATCGTCCTCTTCGTCGTGCTCGCCCTCGTCGCATTCGGCATCTGGAAGATTGTCCGCACCGTCAGAAGGGACCTCAGTGTCACGTCATCAGGCGACAGCAGTAGCAGCGGCTCGAGGGACATTGTGGACTGACACTGGCCTGCACGCGCTGGCCCTTGCCGACAAGAGCATATACCCCGGGGCTCTGTGTGTGGAGGAAACTGTGCGAGCGGGCGATATCACGAGCGACCTATGCTGCGGGAGCGATTTCATTTAATGCCATGTTATGGATCTAAAGAATTGGGCATACATGTAGGGCCGTGGTAATGACGCGATGAACATTCAGGCATTTAGTTTGCATTTGTGCCAGCGAATCTGGGTTCTATTTTTATCTATTGGGAACTTTTTTTTGGAAAGGAATTTCGGTTGATTGGGTGTGTAGATTAGGACATGGCTCGAACCTGCCGTGTACAAGGCTGCCCAAAGGTTGATGGGAGTCAAGAGGCATATTGTGTCAATACAGACTGAATACCAAATGTGTAATGACAACAACTCATCGCATGCTCTGCGAGAAACGTTTGTTCATTTCGCGTCCCACCAATACATGGTCTGTTATTACTCGTGTCCTTTGAAAAAAAAAAAAAAAATCCCTTCACAGGCAGCGAGCAACGTGCTTGCGTGACTGCAACAAAGACCAGCAGTGAGGCACCAACGGCTATACAGCGACCGTACACATCAATCACATGGAAAACTGTCCTTGTTGCAAACAAAAGTGATCATGGAGCGTTTCACTGAACATCCCAACACGGGGCTGTTCCCTTGTTCCTCAGCAAGGCACGAATCAGTGAAACCCCCATCACCTCGACTATATAATGAGACGACGCACCCGGCCCGACTTTCTATCCCATCTTCTCTTCTTTTACCCCTTTACCCCCCCTTTTTGCACAGCCTTGGTGATTGCCCCCATTGCCCAAACTGCGCCCTGAACATCTCAGGCCTTATATCCGCCATCGTCGTCTCTTCGGCGGCTTTTATCAACAATGGAGCCCCGAAACGATCCGCCCCCCGCTGAGGAGGACCATGTTGAGGACAACATTCCCGTGACGTCGCAGTATCCTGAAGGAGACGAAATTCCAGAGCTCGACGAGTACATTTGCCAGGCGGGAGTTGTCTATGGGGCCGAAATTAAAGACTAGCTTCCCGAGAAACTTTGTGCTTCTCTTCTCGGGGAGTCGGAGTCCTTCCACGCAGGTACTAGCCGCATGGCATGGACCGAGTATCGTCGTACCAAAGACTGATTTTTTTCTTTTGCCTGCCCAAAAGTGTCCGTACTAAATGAGTCCCTGGATAAGTTGGAGGGTTGCCCGACTGGCCTGTTCGATGGAGCGGTGCACAAAAAATTTGCGGTTCAACTACAACTTGGAGGAGCGAGAGATTCGTGGGGGGGGGTTGCAATACTCGTTCGACGGTTACAATTTCAGCCCAGCAGCGGCTTTTTTGTTCTTTGTCTCGTTTCTTTGAATCGTCGATTTCAACAACGGAGCTACACGTCTTGACTGCGTTCGGTTATACCACAGGGGGACAAGGGAGGGGAATTCGGCCCATGGTTAAAGCTGATTTACAGCCCAGTGAAGAATCTACAATATAATTTAAAAAAAAAAAAAAGCACTTTGTCATTAATACCACAGTTGGAGTGCCGGTGAAGGAGAAGTCATTACCTGTTTTTAGTGAGAGTCCAGCTAGCACCTGCATGATATGTTGCACTTTGTTACTGAGCAACGCTCCTATTATGCTGTAGCAGCGATTGTCCTTGCATTGGTTTGTTTCGTGAAGCCTCTTTGATAGTGTTGTGAAAGCAACTTGCAAAAAAAGGGCCATGTTCACGTCGAGCAAAGCGTGCTGTGCGTCTCTGCACACCCACCTAGTTTGGTTTCTGTTCAGGACGAGTCTCGCCAAACTTTGGTCACCTGTTCATAGTTGCCAAGGAGAAAGCTGGCTCTCCATTGTGCTTTTCCAAGGGGGCCAGCGGCGAACATGAACAAGGTGCGGGTTTGCTTCTCTTTATTATTTTCAGCTGTTTCAAGGGGTATAAAAGACCGCGCCGCATGCCTCGTCAAGAAGGTCTTGTTTCTCGCAAACCATCTTTTCTCTCCCTCTCTCTCTCCCCCTCTTACTCTCACTCTACCTAGCCAAAGGTGAAAAGGTCGCCTCGCAGATCCGTCTCCGTCGTTTCGCCTTTCTACTTTCAAAATGGCGGACCAAGATTCCTCATCACTTAGTTCTTTCACCATGGACGACAACCAGAGCATCATGGACGACGTCCAGGACGACATGGACGACGGCCGGGACGATGCGGAGGACGGCCTGGGCACACCAGATGATTTGCGCCAGGATAGGCAAGACCAGCAGAGAGATGCAGCTCCCCAGGGAGCTGGTGCGGACCAAGAAATACAGGAATCGGCGCATCACGACGGGAATCATTCGCACCAAAGTACCCCGTACTACAGTCAGCCCACGCCCAGTATCTTCCTAGATGCAGCCCCGACGCCTATTGATGAACAGGCTCAGAAGCTGGATGAGAGGCAGGCCGTCATAGACAAGATGCAGAAGGAACTGGACCGTCAACGCATGCAAGTCGCTGCCCAAAACGTGCCCAACATGGTGCGGAGTCTCGAAGCCGTGAGCAACGAACTGAATCGATCACAAAACGTCCTGATGGGCGGACCGAGTCTGCGCATAAACGCCGTCACACAAGCCTCGCAGTCCCTTCGGGGAGAAGATGCAGAAAAAGCTGCCATGATGTACCGCTTGGGTGTCGCATGCAATGACATTGAAAAGCTGATACAGAAGCTTCGCGAAATACAACTAGCAGCTTCGTCTGAAGCACAAGACAGCGCCCTCTCTGTGGCCCTTCAGACGTCTCAAGACGCCGGTACTGGTACCGAAGGAAACGGGCCTACGGGCTTGACCGGTCGGTTCAACTCTTGTCGCTTTGGAGACAATGCCGGGACTTTCTCCGGCACGATGAATGCGGGCATTGGGATCCCAGGGTTGGGTGCAGGGAACGTCTCTCAGTTTGGGAGGAACTTTGTTGTCCAGGAGACTCCGGGCATGGGAAATGGGGACATGAACACTGTGCAGCTTGAGAATCTCATGCACTTTGACCAATATTCTGCGGATCATGGAAACGGTTTACAGATGTGACGAACAGCGCGGGGTTGCCGAACTCGAATCCTTCCTTCATTGTATAAAGGCCAGCTGTGAAGATGGGCTTTTTTTTCTTCTTTCCTCTGTGTGTGTGTTATTTTCTCTCTTGGATTTTTTTCTTTTCTATAGGATGGATGAATAGTGTCGGGTTTTTGCTTCGTCCCAGTTCTCAAATTCTCCAGTGAATCGATATTCCGTGCCCTCTGATTGTTATGCCCCCTGGATATTGTAATGTCGGGGTCCGGAGCATGAAACACCGTCGTTTTTTCCAGAAATGCGCCTCGTTCGTCGTCTCTGCAACTTGAACTGCGGCATGGCAGGTCCCATCAACCCCCTGAGATGAACCGAGCATTGGACGGTGGCACGGTGCATGATGCGGCGGACCGCTCCGTCGCTTCGTAGCCACTTACATAACCAGGCCTGGACGTCTGTTGTTAATGGGCGACGGACTCGGCATTTGTGTCAGAGACTTTGGAGAGGAGCTTGTTCATGAGGCTTGCGAGTTGCCAGCTCTGGGATGCCGTGCCCTGTGGAATCGAAATGTGGTGTCGCATGTACTTTTGTGCGAATTATATGGCGCTCCATGTAACGCTGTCTTGGTATCTATCATGATGTCTTTTTCTCACACGTTGTCCTGAATTAGCTTCTCCCTCCCCCCGGGTCGTTACATCTCGATGGCGCTACACCCCATCATGTATTTTTCGTGCATCACCAACTCGTCAGTCCCTTTATTCTGTCAAAACCGCCCCGTAATTGGCTCTCCGGTTTGACCAGCTTGCCCTTCAGAACAGTATATCTAATCAGGTTCTCGCAGTCCTCAGGTTTTACTCTCGCCAACCAGATGCCCTGCGCGGCACCAACATCGGGCTTGGCATCATCGCCATTCGAGGTGCCATCCGAGTCACCATTGGAAGCACCACTGGTGCCGCCTAAGCTTCCATTTGTCCCTGCTGAATGTGAATGTCCCGCCGTCTCATCAACTTCGTCTTGCCCAAAAGCGTTCGGTCTCCGGTAAATCATGACATTGGCAGAATACTTGTGCCCACCGACATGGTTGATGAAGTAAATGCCGACGCCACCTGGTCTCTCGTCGTGAAGATCGCGATACAAACCCAGGGGTCTCAAGTGCCGTTCAAACTCTTTCCTTAGTAATGGCGCGCTCTGGCCACACCGGGCATCTCGTGTTTTGTGGCTGCACATCAGAATGACGGCGCTGTGAGGGCAGGCTTTTGTTCCCAGGACGGGCACGTCAGCATCCGGACCGGGGAGAGACTTGGGGAAGGAGGGCGTTGTGAGCGGCGACATGGTTGTCGGTGCCCTGTTGATGAGTTCGGTGATGAGAGTAGTGACGTTGGTTGGGTCGACGTTTTCCACGAGGGTGAAGGCAGGGAGTAGGAGAACAGTTGTGGGTTCCGAATAGTCGTTTGTGTCGTGTGGTGTTGGCATATTTGATGCCGAAAGCATGAGTCTCTGCAAGAAGCGTTAGCCATGACTGTCTCATAACAAAACAAGGACATGATGAGTGAGATGACTCTCTCTCAATCTCAAGTCGAGATGATTTTCTGAAGCTTCAACATCGACGAGATTCACAAGATGGGTATGACGAAGTCTCATCCCCCCTACCCCCCGGAACATCTCACGGCTTTCACAACAAACAGCACAAATACAGAATACTCACCCCGTTAGTCGGTCCGTCCGCTTTACTAATAGCCTCCATGACACTCCCCTTTTCATCCCCCACATCTCTCACCCAGTCCGTCTTCCCCGTACCCACCAACACATGTGTACTCCACCCCTTGACCTGCCCGTACAGTACATCCTCCTCATCAACCTTGAATCCCCTCGGATACCGTACCGTACAGCTATCACAGTCGTGCAGGCACTCCTCCCCGTCCTTCTCCGGGTCCGTCTTTTCAAACAGCTGGTCGTAGGCAGGCGTGGATGTCTTGCCGCCCCCGAGGACAGACGACATGAGTGATTTGAGCGACACGGCCATTTTCTGCTTCATGGGCATGCGCGGGAGAGATTGGGGCGTTGCAGGATTGGGTGACACTGTGAAAAAGGAAGAAAAGGAAAGGGAAAATAGAGACAGCAGAAAACCAAGCCCGGGGGTTTATACGGAGAAATGTGGACTGAGTGTTTCCGACAGGATGGGTCGTTTCGGTTTCGGCCTTGCTGGGGGATTCCAAAAGGGTTCTTGTAAAAATTCGGGGCCGCCGGGCTGGCGAGCCGAATTGGGCGATGACTTTCTCAGGGACAAACACCGTTTCTTTTTTTTTTTTCCTAGTCTCATGAAAGTGGCAATTTCTGTTCCAATGGGATCGCGTTTCGCCGGGCGGATGGTTGGAAATTCTCAACGTCGGACAGCGTGGGATGGGCAATGGCGGGGGTTGGAATGACCTAATGAACCAAGTCAGGACCAGTGCGGCACGAACAGCTGGCGCTTTGAGCCGCGCGGGGTTGTGCATGAAAGGAAAGTGCCACCCAGCAAAAGCGCCGTTGTCGTTGCATATCCTATGCAAGCTGGCTGTGCTCCGGATTCCGTTATCAGATCCGAGAATCACATTCAATTTCATCACCCACCTCCTGCCTCGCGCCTCGTGCTGCAATGCCCTTCTCTTTTTTTTCCCAAGGCACTGCTCATCGTCAAAAATCACCAGGATAAAAGTCGCAAAGTTGTTGACGGCCGAGGGCTTCTTGAATTTATGGCTGAATTGCAGCTGGTCTGATAGGGCCCCATCTCCCACCTGCCGACACGCAATTCTCCGCGTGTCTCCTCCCCGACCGTCCGTTGGTTGTCTGTGCTGCTGAGAGAAAATGCCGCGTATCTCCGAGCCCCAGTGTTTTGTCTAACTCGACACTTTTTTTTTTTTATCAGATCCGTGAAAGGACACGGCCAACACATCCATCTCCACACCACTCCAGCAATCCGCATCATGCATCCTGCATTCCGTGTGACTCCATAATTGATCAATGAATGCCGCCGATATGACATACGAATGCATCTCGAGATGGATTGATAGCGGCGTCATGCCGCGTCCCGCACGGTCACTCTCTACGATGCATCTTTTGCGTCAGTGTTCGTAGTGTCACCACCACACAATCCCAACTCCCATCGCAGCCGGTCAAGCATGAAACTCCTGAGCTCCGTTAGATGTACATACATACTCCGTACAGAGTAACAAAGGGACCAACCGTCAGCAACGTCAGCACAAGGCAACACTACGTCAGCACCGACCTGGAATGCTCCAATGGCTGGTTGCCCAAGCCCAATGTAGCCATTTATCAGGCAGGTATGCACGACTCGGCGTTAAGGTGTGGAGGTAAGTTATACCAAATTGCATAATGCCAGGGGTGTAAGGCTTCGTCATCAACTACAACCACCATTCTATTCGTAGCTGTTGACTGTTTTCAAAGCATTTGTAATACTTCAACTCGGGTGGGGGTTACTCCGAGGACGGTTTTCCTTCAATAAACACTGGCGCAAATTCGGGTGGAAGCGGTTGACATCGTCATCATTTCATGGGAGCTACAACTTCCACACACCGCGCACAGCGAAGAATGGCAAAGTAGCAATGTGCAACATCATAACTCGTTCCATCTCTCGAATAAGATTGCCCCGCAAGGGGGCTGTGGAAATGTACAAGATGCACAGCATAATCGGTCACATTGTATCAAAAACATATCCATCCATGTCCGGCTCAAGCCACATTTTTCTTCTTCTTTAGGGCAAAAAAGAAGTCTAAACAGAACTCAACCGCCATTGCCATTCACATTTCAAGTTGATTAGATATTCTTCTTCCTTGCCTCATCATATCCCTCCTCTTCGCTGTCCTCATCATCGTCATGATCCGCTGCATGCAACCCCTCTGACTTCTTCCTGCGATCCTTCATCGCTTGTCGAATCTTTCTTGTCGCCTCGCTGAATCCCTCAGCAGAATCCAGGGTGGTAAACCCGCTGATGGGGAAGCCTGCCGAGCCGAAGCCGCCTCCAGCACTGCTGGACCGTGACCTACTCCTCGATCGGGATGGAGGGCGAGTGGAGAAGATGCCGACAGTACCAATGTTGCTAAAGGAGTCGTTTCGTGGAAGAGCACGGCTGGATTGCGTCGTGCTGCGACGAGAAAGCATCGGAGGAGTTTCCACGTCGGCGCTTGTGTTGGACTGGTCGCTGTCTTTGCGCTTGTGCGCTCTCTCGGGAGTGGTGCCACCGCTCTCCAGTTTGGACACGTCCGGCACAAGGCGAGTCTTGTCAAAATCGGGGAACATCTCGGGTCCTAGTGTGTTGATCAAATCCGTGACCTGGGCACTCAGTTCTGCCCGTCGAAGTCGCAGAGTATGAATGTTAAAGTCAGAACTGGGCACCAAGCACAGGATCAAAGGTCGAAGTGACTTGAAAATATCCATGCCAACCTCGCCAAATCGCAAGGCTGCAAAGGTAAGGCCAATCATGGCTGGCCAGATGCCAATGTACGCAAGCCACAAAGGCACCCACGTAGGGACGTGGCCCCATAACCTGTCCTGCCAGACCTTGAATACAATGATGATGGAGTAAAAGTGATAGAGGGTGGGAGCCAGACCCATGGCCACGAGAATCTTCCATGTGGCCATGACGTCGCGGCCTCGGACTTTGACAGTTGAGCCTGCCAGCGCAGTGTTTGCCTTTTGAATGCTGATAATCTTGGTTGCTACGAAGACGGGGGCGAATAGGAGCAAGCCTGGAACGGTACAGAAGAATAGAAGTACGAGCTTGATGGAGCGGTACACAAGAAGGAAGAGGACTTTGAAAATGGACATTTTGGCGTATTGGACTTGATGGTCCTTGAGGCTGAGATAGCGAAGTTGTGAGTTGTAGTTCTTGACCGAGGCTGATAAGGATGTGATGCGCTCGTCGTTCTTGTAGCGCTCATAACCCATTGCAAGTCGTCTGTTGAGCTCTACCACGACTGGAAGAGGGAGTTTCTTTCCAGTGGGATTATACAGTCTCCGCGCTGCTTGGATGACCATGAGGGTATCGTAGTCTGGCGCCGATACGGTGACTGCACTGAGAGACTGATACACAGTATCAATTACCTGACCGATAGCTTCCCTTCGCTGGTTGTTACGGTACAGTTCCACCAAATGCGGAGGAATCTCGAACGGCGCGCCGAACTCAACAACCGCTCTGCTTCGGAACTTGTGAGCGTGGAAGTAATTCATGCCCACCGGGACAATCTTGAGTCCGCAGTTCGGCGCTTCGGCCAACGTTCCAAGCGCCATGATGGCAACACCGGCCTTGAGAGGGAGGAGCTCTGTGCGGTCGTGACTACCGCCTTCAGGGAAGATGCCGACACACCCACCATGTCGCAGTCGTGAAAAGACGGCTTCGTAGACCTTTGTCTGGTCAATGTTCGGTGCCGCCTTGAACTTTGTGCCTTCATACCCGGGTGCGGGACCCTTTATGCTTTTGTTTGTAAAATTTCCGTCCTCGTCAATGTCGTCGCGACCTGTCAGTTGTTGCATGGCAAGCTTTCCCTTGAAGGGCCTCTTGAGTCGGATTTCCTCGGGGCCAAGGATTTGCGCAATATCGCTGCTCACAGAGGCAGTCTTTTTTCCCGGCGGCAAAAAGACCATGCCATGGGTCTGCCCGTCGCCGGTACCAAAGTTTGTGCCAACGCCGCGAACAAGAGTGGGATCGTTAACGGGATCGGGGAGGTAGATGGTACCCGGCACCGACTTTGTAGCATCTTGGGCACGACCAACGGGCACAGCGCCCGCTTGTCGAGAGGCCCAGCCAATGAAGCCGTGAACTGACTTTTGGGCAATGAGCAGAGACACTCGACGGCCGGCCTCCTGTTTAAGGGTTCGTAGAAGCACCAGCCCATCGACAAACTACAGGATAGCAAGCAACGTCGGGTCAGTTTTCTTGTGTTGCTTCTTTTTTGAGTCCAAGAGCATACCCGGCAGCTTGTCAGTCTTGGCGGACAGGCTGATTAGTGCGGGAACTGCGGAAGTGAAACTATACTGACCTGGTTCGCATGTGGTGCTGCGACGAACAGAACTGGTCCGGATTGCGGAACTTTCCATGATCCTCGCGGCACAACCTCGCGGAAGAACAAGTCGACCAAGTTGCCCATCAAGTACAGGAACAAATCATACTTCCAGCTCACCATGGGGTAGAGCTCTTTTACGCGAGTAGAATCGCCCTCGGCCTTCTGGCCATCCCTCTCTGCGGTTGGCGCCATGGCTCGAAGCTGCGACGTGGTGGTCTCGTCAGAGCTTCATGCAGCTCTGTTCGCGGTGCGTGTCGCCGCCCCGGCAATGGTCACGACACAACACTGAGGCACAAGGTGAGAAACAGATGCTTGTCTGAAGGGGAGGAGCAGGAGCGCGGGCGCGACGTGGAGGAGGTGATCGGGGCATAGATGGGGCGGAGATGTCAAGTGTCTTTGATTAAAGACTGGATGGCCAACGGACACCAGCGCAGCACTGGAGCACTGGAGTTGGTGAGGCTTGTTGCAGATCCATTTGGCTGGAGCTTCCCCTCCGTACGGCACTCGAGGCCAAGCAGACGGGCACCGGCCACAGGCGGCTGGGTCAGCCACGGATGAGGGAGGGGTTGGGGCCGCTGGGGAAAAGACGGTGCACCAGACTCCAAAGTGGGAGCCAGACGCTAGTGGCGTCCAGTGACTAGTACTCGCTACCAAGTGCCCCATCAATGATGTCAACTCATGTTAAACCTTGAACATTCAATCCTCCATCTCAACACCACCAGCACCCAAGCCCCCGTATCATCTGTGTTCCTAGCCTGAATTTATCGCGAACGCATGATATCTCAGCTCACAAGTGGACTCGGTCCTATCAACCCGTCCCGCTACGCCACCCGATGGAGAGGGAGAATGCAACGTTGAACATGTTCTTGAGTCTTTACAGGACTGGTGCGGGGGCACGAAACGTCGTCTGGTCAAAGATGGCCACGATAACGCTGGACACCGAACCAACAGAGAAACTCCGGTCCGTCTTCAACCCGAACGCCATCCCAACATCGTCTCCAGCAGTGTAAGCCTCGGGCCTGGTTTTATCAACCCGGAGTAAACGAGCTGGAGCCCATTCACGATAACTAATTCGGCTTCTGCACTGCGAAGATGGAACGGCTTGTCCGGACTTGCCCCCCCCCCCCCCCCCCCCCCTCCCGAGCGTT